TTTTATTGCTATTTCTATTAAATAAATAGAAAAACACAAATTGTATTTATAAGGATCGTTGAACCATAAAATTCAAAAATAATTTGAATCGCTGTAAAAGAAACCTTAATATAATGTAATTGATATTTGAATCGCAATTTAAAATCCGATAATTGAGACTCAGTCTAACCCTGAATTCACAATTAGCGCGTATTCTCGGCGAAGTATACAAAATTCCCCGGGAAGAATACAAAAATACGCCATATTTTGCCGCGAGGGTAAGGCTTACAATTAGTTTTTATCTCGCTTATAATAGGTTTTTATATGTTGACTGAAAAACTGATTGATGAATTTGTAAGTATACTTATTTGGATTTAAATATTGGCAAACCCAGATACTTAGTGCCTCTAATATTTGACTAATTTTTAATGCCGCTACTTAATATAAATAATCAAAGCTACAACCACATCGAGTCTCATATTTTAAAAGATAATAAAAAGGTTTTTTTTAAATGATAAAAGTAAAACTAATTTTAGATTTTTCGTTTATGTAATTTTTTTATTATAATTGCTTTTGTGTTTCTAGAATCTTCGTTTTATCTTGAATCTTGGTATCAATTATCGTATTTTGCTAATAATTTTTTTATTTATACTGTTTACCAAACGGATTGAAGATTAAACTAAAATGCATACACTTTAAACATTATATATTAGTCTAAGTTTTAGTTCTTTCAAAAGTTTGGCAAACTCTTGCTTAGAACTGCGTCTTAATATCAAATTCATATAAAAATTTTAAAAATATAACTCGATTTAATGAGATTAACTTCTAACATGATAATGAAAAGAAAAAACAACATCTATGATGATCATGGAATCAGAAAATTAAAAGGGTAATAGGAAAAAAACCCCGGAAATAAACCCCCGGAAAAAACCCCATGGGAAAAACCCCCCTGGAAAATTCCCATTCAAAAAAAAAGGAAAATCATTTTTTAAAATTTTTTTCTTGGCAATTTTTCTTAAATTTTTTTCTCGGCAATTTTTCTTAAATTTTTTTCTCAATTTATTTGTTCTTCCCATTATTGCTTTAAGTCATTTTAAATCTTTATTTTTATTTAATATCAAATACAACAGCATGGTATATGGATGGAAATTTTGCCATGTCCCCCAAAAATTTTCTACAATTATATATCATTAGAGTATCAATAAACAATATTTTTATCACCGCTGTTTAATGTGTACTCCAAAAATAAACACAAAATACTTATGAAAAAATATTCGAAATATTACTGTCTAAATGTCAAAAGGGATTTATTATTTGATCCATTATATATATACATGGATTTCGAAAAGTCTGCTAAGAGCGCGGTTAAAACCGTCATTGGTATGATTATATGTTAAATTATTTATATTTATTTTTTCAATTACATAGGAAAATACAAAAGCTAGGTCTGTAAAGCCAATACAGAACCGATGAAGCCCTAAGTTTCTTTTGTGGCATGATGGACGGCTTAGCTTTTGTTCCTTTATGTGATATGGTCAATGCAATAGCATTCCTGAGATCATCTACTCCGACCAATGATAAAGATATTCTTGAATATTTCGATAAAAATTACATCAATGGAGTATCAAGCAATTCTCAATCCCAGACACGTCGAATTGGGCCTTGATTTCCTTAAGAAACTTGGAATGTGAAGAGCACTCTATCCGACGAAGAACGCACAAATAATCAATGCGAAGGTTGGATGGTTGGGAACAATAATGAAAGGCGAGGTGGCTGCCGATGAAACCAAACTTGAACGAAGGCATGTAGGTAGTTGAACACCGAAAACAAAATCGCAGAGTTACAATACACAGATTAGGTTAAAGAAACTTTGCGAGGAATACCGTGATGGGGTGCGAAGTCCTCCAGATTTTATGAGGGCGATTTCCTTCAATATTCGATGTCAACCGATATAATTATTATTCTAAATTATTAAATTTATATATACATAATAATGATTTTTCAATAAAATAAACAGATCTTATTGCAAATTTTGTCAAATTTAGTCTACTCAATATAATAATTAAGGATGGATATTGTATTTATTACTATAGCAAATAATTTTTACGAAAATAAACATGGGTTATTTTGGTATTTTTTTGTCCCAGTACCAATTTGAACATCATCATTTTTTATGAAGGGTATATGAGTAATTTTTAAGTAATGAATATACTAATTTGTCTATTTCTTATTAAATCAAAATAAAAATATACCGATATTATTAGATTATAAGTCTATTCGAAAAAAAAAATTCGGGGTTTTCTTTTTTCCTGAGGGTTTCCGGGATTCGATTAAAAGATATCTTGAATAGGGGGAGAAACCTTAACGTAAGAAGAAATCGATTTTTGAATCCTATTTTAAAATTCTATAAAATTCCGCATAAGATGTGGTGTATTTTTTATTTATTCAATATTTAAGATGCAGTCGAATATGTCCTAATTTTTATTTCGCTTATAACTGATTTTAATTATTGACTGGAAAAACTGATTGAAATAAGTACTAATCATGCATTACATATTGTTCATTGCTTATATAATTTTCCTTTTAATATGATGTCAATCTTAGCAATAATGGTTTGGTATAAGTTTCAGAATTAATGTTTTGACTCATTTCAAGTTTAGAGCGTGATGTCATCATTTTTATTTTGTTTATAACTGATTTTCTTTTTGTGGTTCTCATATTTAATTGTAAGTAGTAGTCAAGCACTAAATAGATAGTTTTTTATATTTTACATTCTAGCGATATCTATATTGTCAATTTTCCTTTTTCTTTATGCCTGCCAAACGGATTAAATTAATATACATTTAAGTCTCAACATTGATAAAATTTACAGGATAAATGATCAGTCGCTTTTTTATCTTAAGGTTGGCCAAAATCTTGTTTCCATTCAGTTGTCTGTATTACTAGAAAAAATAAAATAAAGGAAAGAACCTTTTATTGACATGTGTCGACTCCATGTTAGTTTATTTTTAGGTTTTCCTTTACCATATACGCATAACTTCTTAATGATGGTAAAAGCCACAGTACTTACCCGAACTCTCTATCCACTCAACAAAATCTCCATACCACTGAGTTTGCATATTACTTCTGAGCTAGCTTAGCCTTCGCCCTACATCCTCTCCATAGTAAATGACGATTTTACCCCCCCCCCCCCCACTAAATTTAATCCTCATTTGCACCCTCATACCTAATTAAAATAAGCAACCAATAAATATTAACCCCCATAACCTCACTCCAATTTTATTAAAACATTTCAATGATGATCTTGCGTCATCATACCAAAATTAAAATTTTAATTAATTCCGAAATTCTAAATTAATTTTAGTGTTAATATAAGATTAAAAATTTCCCATAAGTTCCCCGTCCCCTTCCCTTTTCCCAAAGAAATGAGTAAAATATTTTATTTTTGTTGTAAATTTTAATTATATTAAAAATTAATTTTTGTCTCAAATTTGTAATAATTGAAAAAGTTTTATTATAAAATAAAACTATTTATGCATAAGAATCCTCTATTTTCAGTATGCGTTCAAATTATAATCATCGAATATATTTAACGAAAATATAATAAAGGTAATAAACTATATCTTCAAAAAATAAATTTTTGTAAAAACTGTAATCCGTCGGGCCAAAGGCCTTCAAAAAGAAGGCTCAAAAAATCCAAAAAAATTTATAATAAAAAAGCTACCAAAAAATTTTCTCTTTCAAAATCGAGTGAAATTCTTTATATCAAAAAATTGATTCTTTTCCTATTTCAAAATGATCAATATTTATTAATTTTATAAACTGTATACTAATAAATAAATTCCTTAAATTTATCGTTTTTAATGTCATGTTAACTATTAATTTATTCAATGCAAAAGATTTTGAGATGAATGTCAGGTTATCACGTCAATTCACAGAGGATAATTTGGCTTGGCGTATTTACGCACAGAGAAAATTTGGAGCACGCCAAAAGCACTATTCGACGTTCCTCAAAAAATGTAATTATAAATTTGCAAGTATTTTAAAATAAATTTCTTAGCGATCTCTACGGCAGGGTAATTCCAAAATTTTTGTTTGTTTATTAAAATATGTATATAGTAACTAACAGGAATTTTATATCAACCCTAATGAAACATCTCACCTGAGATAAGAAAAAATCCATATATAATTAAATTAATTACAATATTAGTATATAAAATCAAAGTGCTTTTTATTAATAAATTGGTAATAATAATAGAGAGTAATTTTTCATGGCTAGGTCTAATATTTTTGCATACCGAAGTGTAAATCGCTCACTTGACAGCGCCTAATTAACGTGATACCAAATCAATAGAATTCTAACGGGCGTGCCAATTAGTCGCACCCTGCAAATGACAATTTTTTGCTGAAGTATGATTTTATCGATTTATAAACATAGGCCAAAATGAGATGTAATCAAATGTCAGATATCAATGAAATTTCCCATTTTCCCCCATTTATACCCAACTTTTTTATTCAAGATTAATTACAATATAATAGGTGATAATATTATCATGAAATATGTAGGTAAATACTCGAATCCCTAATTAATATAAATATATAAGAGGACGTCTTGGAATATGTCGAGAATAAGATGTTGAAAGAGATTTGATCATCAACTAAGTGATAACATACATAACCATAAAAATAAATATAATTATAACTAATTCATATATAAACCAGTTAATAATAATTAGTACATTTGAACGATATGCTGATCAAATAAATAATGATTAGAAATACTTGAAGTCATCTATGTTTATTGACTAAGAGACTTAATTTTTAACCACTGATTACTAAAAATAAAGCTTTGTTATATCTGTTTAATCGAATTGTAACTTTATTTTCAATAAACTAGCCCAAAATATTTCGTAAATTTTTTATTCACATAAAAAAATAATGAAACAATAAATAATAATGCTTTAATAAAAATATACAAAAAAAAATAAATGTAAAAATAAAGAATTGGTCTATATTTAAGCGATAAATAATTGCATATTTAGAACAAGGCTAGGTATTGATAAAACTAATTTCTTTTAAAAACATCAATGAAATATTAAGATAAGGCACGTAATTGATTGAACAAAATTGTTAAATTAAAAATATTTGATAATTTACAAATATAATTATGGTAAATATGGAGTATTTATTGATAAACAAAAAATGGTTTGTTAGGTAATAACTAGATTCCTATGACAATTTAATTAATATCCATGAATCTGGTGGTATTAGAATGTTTTAGACGCTTGCACCACAAATATATTTTTTTCAAAGTTTATTTTTAAAAAAAGCCACATTTATTCTAATGATATCAATATTAATATTTTGAGGAACGATTTGATTATAATTAATTAATACTATTAAAACCATTTGCCAATAGATTTTTTAAAAATCATTTTAATGTGTTTAGAATAAATTAATGAAGTGCATTTATATAATTCGAAAAACTAAATTATTTCAATAGGAAAGAAAAAAAAGAAAGAAAAGATTGACCGTAATAGAAAGAAAATATAATTGAATTTCCCTAAATTTAATTGTTTTATTATAAATAAATAAAATTTTTATGGATGTCCCTTCTTTTCACTAAGATCAGCGGATGGGGGCCATTTCACCCCTGGACGTATAATTACTTTTTGTTTGCTCTGGAAATTATTTTCTACCATATCCTATTTCGCAAAAAAAATCAATATAATGAATGCATAAAATAAAGGTTTACGAAATGAATGTGAAATTATAAAGATAATTCAAATACTTACATTTAAATATTATAGAAATTTATTTAAAATATTTGCATTATTCTATTATTTCGTTCCTACCTTTCAATCAGGAAATACAAATATTTTAGATACCTGGTTATTTTTAATGTTCTCAGTCCAATCTACTGTTTTCATGAGTTCAATTGTCTTAAGAATAAGATTCAGTGTCCTTTGAGAACACTTTTGAACGGTCTGCATAACCATATTCACAGTAACCTGAAATTTTTATTTAATATATAAAGTAATTATTTAAATATTTCTTCTTCATCATAAAAGTGTATTAATATTAAAGTTCTTAATTTGTTATTTTTCCTGTCTTCCAATTAATTTTACTCACACTTTTTTCTTTTCTGAAATCAGGCAAAAAATAATATAATTTATAAATAAATCAATAATGAACCGCTTCAACGTCGTCTTTAAAACTATCGTAATCAGTGATCATGCCGATCGCAGCGTACCCCATGCCGGCCTCTCTAGCCAAGCAAACCTTAATTTTTAGTTTAAATTTGCAAAAAATATATTAATTTTTATGCGAGGAAGTTTTTCTTTAATGGTTTTATTATTAAATCCTGAATATGATAAGTGGATATAATTAATGTTTAAGCGACAAGAATAATTGAACAAAAGATAAACGAAAGCCTGAAATAAACCTCAAAAAAACTTCAGAGAAAAATAATCCCCTAAAAAACCAAGATGAAAAACAACAGTTATTTTATAAGCAAAAAAACGAGGTCAAAATCAAACTGATCGCGTATGATTACGAAGAAGCCATATATCTGATTGTTTTTACCAAAACTTAGGAAGGGTTAAGTCTGCCTATGCGTTAAGGTTATTTTAAAGAGACGGGAAGTTATATATTATATTACGGAAATTAAATATGAGAAATAGAGGGATCTGCGACGGGCGAGTTTTAGCTGGCTACGGGCGAACAAATTTCAAACATTGGACGGGTTAAAAAACTTACACAATGGATGAGTGATGAGGGGAGGGGAATTGGAAATATTTTTCATGCGAAATAAGCAGAACGGACTTAAATCATTAAAAATTATTTCTTTATTTTATGATTGTATAATTTATGTAACAAAAAATATATTAAATAAATAAAGAGCTAAACCAATTTTTTAAACATTGGGTGGATATTTTAAAAAATCCAAGGGCGAGCTGGTTACAACTTTTTTATAAAGAAAAGCGAGCGTTTGGGTTAAACACGCCCATTGAAGGCCACAAATGCGAAATAAGGCCTACGGGTAGTATATGAGATGGTTACCTTTCGGGCCATAATTATCGATTAATTTTACATAAACTTGGTATGTAATGGTCAAGATTTTCTAGTGGATAAAAATGCTCAATTTTTTCAAATTATATTGATTAATGCTCAAATATGATATTCTAAAAAAATCAGCCGAAAAAAATAAATCTAAATAGAAAATCTAGCCTGGTGCATATCTGCATCGTTAACCATTAAGAGGTTAAAAAGATAAAAATTATGTATAATACTATAAGATCAAAAAACAATAGAAATCTTTATTCTTTTTTTTGTAATTTATAATAAAAACGAGAAAATGTTTATATATTATGAAAATCCTTGAAACATTTAGTATGAAGTGTGATTTGACATATTTGGCACATATATTTTTAGTACATATGGCAATATCTGCATCTACGTCTTTTTCCAACTATAATTTTGGATAAATAATTTCCAGATGAATCAGTAGGGGTTTCGCTCTGTAATGCAAACTGGCTTGCGTGCCCTGTACTTAATTTTTTTTTCCAATTTTTATTGGTGTTCAAAGGAAGTAGTAACTTCTCGCCTAAATGCAAGCAATCTCGATTCATGAATTTCCAAATTTTCCACAAATTTACAAAAGCTACATCAATAAAATTGGTGAATATTGGTCACCGCCCTCTTTTTATTCTATATAGTAGATATGGGATTATCACACAGATCAACTCCACCCATGTGTTTGTTATAAGCAGTGATCATAACGCGTTACCGCTAATCTCTACCTTGTAAAAAAAAGAATGCGCGAAATATTTCGTTTAATTTTTCGAACCTATAATCATAATATCCTCTTTCTTTTTTTGCTACAGCATTTATAGATTCAACTAGTCAATGCTCCATTCTATTATCCCTCACAGTTCCATTTGTAAAATATTCCATTTGTTTTAAGTATTACAAAAGTTTAATTGAGGTATGGTTTTGTAAGGCCTAACTTTATAAAATCTATCATGTATATGTTTTTAGTATTGTCTGTCAAATGAATAATATATTTCAAATTTAATAATTTTAATTGGGTCATTGTATTCCGGATTATTGGAATAGAAATATCACTATTATTAGACAATACATCATTTACTGTGAGAACGAATGATATCCAGTAAATAATAGAATACATTATCAGACCTACTCATTTGTTTTGCATAAATATTACTTTGATCTACAATTAGGGAATATAAGTCTTCGCCGAAAATTAAAAAATATATCTGATGGATTTTTACCATGCAAATTGTCTTCAAGTTTTATTATATCTTCATTTTCCCCATTGAAAGGGATTGTAGAATATAACGTATCTGTGTTCTCCATTTTAAATGGCGAGAAATTACAGAATTGATTCTTCTAGTAGATGGTTCTGGAATGTCGTCATAAATTGAATTATGATTCTCCAATTCACCAGCAATATCTGAAGGTAAAACTCCGTCATTTGTTAAGTCATTTTAGAAACGATTTATTTAAATATTTTTATTAAAAATTAAATATTTAGTAGAATCTTGATTTTTTAATTAGTCATCTATAATTTTGATGATTGAATAAAACAGATGCATAAGAAAAAAATGTTCAGCAAGGAATAGTGTTATTTTAAAATTTTTATGAATAATTTTAATTTTCGAATATTTTTGAACCGAATATTTGCGAATAATTTCATATTGTCGAGATGAAAAATTATAAAATAAACATATTATTCGATTCTCAGGGGGTTCAAAACTATTTTCAAAAGACCTTTTTTTAGGTATAAAATTTTTTTCCAAAATTTTCAGGGGGCTCGAGCCACCCTCTCCCATCTCCTTAGTAATGGTAATAGTTTCAAGTAAAATATAAAATTATAATTCATTATGTTAAATTTGATTTATTTGAATTTTTTAAAATAATTTATACTGCTAGGTGGTTAACGGTGCATATATGCACCAGTCAACTTTATATGGTTACCAATTAAATTTTAATTATTTAAAATTTCAAAGATTGATATATCTATAAAAAATATAACACTAGTTTTCATCGAAATAATTTCATAATATGCTCGTGAGATCACTTAGAAGACTTTGCATTTTAGACCTCATAAATTCGCCATGTTTGAGAGCATCTAAGTATAAAAAGAAACCTTACTCTCAACCCTTTCCTCTCAAAAATATAACTTAACAATCCAAAACAATCCTTTTCTAATAATTAAATAAATATCAATAATAAACATTACCAATTAGGACAATTTTCAAGTCCAATTTATTCGTACAAATATATAAATCCAATTTATTCATGCAAATATGAACAATCCCGGCTTCATCCAACACAAATATAAATATCTAAAAATGTGAGCAATACCGTCTTCATCCAATATAATGTCTTCTTCACTCCCTACCGCCCACAAAAAAACTTTTATTGTTCTTTTCCAAAACCACCTATGGATCATTTCGTTTCATTCCCATCCACCAGGAAAACACTAATTCCCATGTCAGAAAATAACTGACATTTGATGTATTCTTTTTTTCAACAGCTACAACACTTAGGGACATAAAAAAAAATTTTTTTTATATTTTTCTTTTCCAGTTTTGAGGTACAATGTCTAAAATATAAAAACCTTTTTTATTATTTTTTAAAATAAAAATTACTATGTTTAAAAATAATATATAGGAGGTGGTGTATATATGCACCGTTAACCAGTAATGGGTAACCTAACTTTTATAGAAATTTTGAATTTAAAAAAATTGGGTAAATAAAATAAGTTAATAAAAATTGAGAAACCACTTTCCCCCTCCGGTGAAATCAAATTAAAAACTTGGAATTTCCCAACTTTTATCCACATAAAGCTAACTATTTTTTAAAAAATGCCAATTAAACCACTAATAATCAAACGATGATATCCTAGCCATGAAACGGTGCATATATACACCACCTCTTATATATCATTTTTAAACATAGTAGTTTTTATTTTAAAAAATAATAAGGTTTTTATATAGTATAGACATTGTACCTCAAAACTGGAAAAGAAAAATATGAAAAATTTTTTTTTTATGTCCCTAAGAAGCCCTCAAACATGGCGAATTTATGAGGTCTAATATGCAAATTCTTCTAAGTGATCTCACTAGCATATTATGAATTATTTCGATGAAAACTAGTGTATATATTTTTTTTATAGATATATCAATATTTATCAATCATTTTTGAAATTTTAAATAATTAAAATTTTAATTGGTAACCATATAAAGTTGACTGGTGCATATATGCATCTAGCAGTATAAACTATTTTAAAAAATTCAAACAAATCAAATTTAACATAATGAATTTTAATTTTTTATATTATACTTAAAACTATTACCATTACTAAGGAGTGGGGGGGGGAGGGGGTGGCTCTAGCCCCCTGAAAGTTTTGAAAAAAATTTTTATACCCAAAAAAGGTCTTTTGAAAATATTTTTGAGCCCCCTGATAATCGAATAATATGTTTCTTTTATAATTTTTTATCTTGATCTAATTATATGAAATTATTCGCTAATATTCGGTTCATGAATATAAAATTAAAATTATTTATAAAAATTTTAAATTATTTGTACCCTCTTCTTTGCTGAACATTTTATTTCTTATGCACCTTTTTTGTCAATTCAATCAAAATTATAAATAACTAATTAAAAAATCAAGATTCTATGAAATAAATATTTAATTTTTAATTAAAATTTTTAAATGAATCGTTTCTAAAATTACTTAACAAATGACGGAGTTTTACCTTCAAATACTTCTGGTGAATTGGTGATTCATAATTCAATTGATGACGACATTCCAGAACCATCTGCTACAAGGCTATTCTGTAATTTCTCGCCATTTAAAATGGAGAAAACAGACGTTATATTCTACAATCCCTTTCAATGGGGAAAATGAAGATATAATAAAACTTGAAGACAATTTGCATGGTAAAAATCCATCAGATATATTTTTTAATTTTCGGCGAAGACTTATATTCCTTAATTGTAGATCAAAGTAATATTCATGCAAAACAAATGAATAGGTCTAATAATGAATAACCATTCCAGATATTAAGAGATTTATTAGAATTCTATTATTTACTGGATATCATTCGTTCCCACATGGTCTAATAATAGTGATATTTCTATTCCAATAATCTGGAATACAATGACCCAATTAGAATTACTAAATTTGAAATATAATATTCATTTGACAGACAATAGTAAAAACATATATATGATAGATTTTATAAAGTTAGGCCTTACAAAACCAAATTATCATAAAATATATTTTGATAATTTCTATACCTCAATTAAACTTTCGTCATACTTAAAACAAATGGGATATTTTACAACTGGAACTGTGAGGGATAATATAATGGAGCTGCCCAGTTGAATCTATAAATGCTGTAACAAAAAAAGAAAGAGGATATTATGATTATAGGTTCGAAAAATTAAACGAAATATTTAAAGTTCGTTGGAATTATAATACGGTGGTGACGAGGTATTCCAATAAAATATTCTAAAATAAAAATTCCTCAACCAAATATGATCACTGCTTATAACAAACACATGGGTGGAGTTGATTGTGATAATCCCATATCTACTATAGAATAAAAAGAGGAAAAAAGGGGGCAGTGGCCAATATTCACCAATTTTATCGATGTAGCTTTGGTAAATTCGTGGAAAATTTGGGAATTCATGAATCGAGATGAAAAGAAAAGATTGCTTGCATTTAGGTGAGAAGTTACTACTTACTATGAACACCATTGAAAAAAATTTAAGTACAGGGCACGCAAGCCAGTTTGCATTACAGAGCAAAAACCCTACTGATTTATCTGGAAATTATTTATCCAAAATTATAGATGGAAAAAGACGTAGATGCAGATTTTGCCATAAGCACTCAAAATATATGTGCCAAACATATCAAATCACACTTCACTAAATGTTTCAAGGATTTTCATAATATATAAACATTTTCTCTTTTTTATTATAAATTACAAAAAAAAGAATAAAGATTTCTATTGTTTTTTGATCTTGTAGTATTATACATAATTTTTATCTTTTTTAATAAATAATGCCAAAGTATGATTAATATTGACCATCTTTGCTTCAATTGCATTTTGAGGGTCTCGGGAAAAAAATAGAGCTAGGAAACTTGAGCTAAAAAGTGTTCTGGAAATAAAAAAATTTGGTACTGGTGGGACAATATTTTTAAACAATTAAATTAGTCGAATTCTTGTTAGTTAACTGCTTGAATTTTTTTTGCCGGTCCCTACAAATTTTTAGAGAGTATTTCCGGGTTCTAGTTACTAGATTTATTCCGGGGCTTTAGGGTTTGCTTTCGCAAACACATATGATCCAACTAAAAAAAATAATTCATAGTTTATGCCGTATTTCAAATGAATTAGATAGATAAGTTAACAAGAATAATGTTTACGAGATGCAGGGCCAGTTCTAAGATGACGGCGGAGGAAACTTAAAATGGCTAGAGAATGTGAAAAAGAAAACAAGCAGAATTATTTCTTTTGTCGAGTGGAGCGGCAAATGATACTTGTCCCAATAACTAAAAAAGCTAAAGTCGGGCCTGAAGAGACTTAAAATTCGATTATGTCAGTTTTAACAAAAATATTGAAGCACTCAAATAATCAAACGACGATATGATGGAATGGCCAAAGGGTTATTGATATCCCGGGAAGTTGGAGGGAGGGATGGGGGATCAAGTGTTTTTTTAACGAAAATCAGAATAACATTCACAAATTAATGTGTGAATAAAATCAAAAAGAATTTTTTGCAGAAACACTTTAATAAAAAAAAAATTTTAATTTTAAATGTGGTATTTTTGAATAAATAATTGGGTTTGAGAAATATGAGGGAGGAATGGCATAATATAAGGCTATATGCTTGAAAGATAAAAATGAATGTATTATATCAAAAAATTAAATTCAAGTAGTAAAATAAATGAATGGGGGGGGGGGATTGATTATAAAGCTTGGTTTTCAAAGTTAATTGTTAATTGTGAACCAACGGGTTCATTGTACTTACTTTATTATACAAATATATAATATTAATCGAAGTTGAAATAATGATACTAGATAAGTGTTATTAGTAAAAAATAATCTAAAATTATTTAAGTGTAAACAAATAAAATATCTTTAGTTATGTGAAAGTTGGAACAATTAAAAAGGCGTTAAAACTTTATGAATATTTTTTTTAAATTTTGATAGTTATTAATGTATTGTTGTCTACTTTAATGTTGATTTTCATTTACATTTCGATTATAAGTTTATCCACTCCATTAAAAACGGGAGAAAATCATCCGGGCCAGAAAAACGCAAAAGGCGGTAAATATAAATGGGTTAAAAAATAATGTTATATTAATGCAGGTTCACTCGTCGTTGTTATTAAAATTGAATCACTACATGAACTAGTTCCGTTGGCTTAAAATCCTCTAATAATCTAGAGGTAGTAGTGCCTAATTGCGTAACCATAAAAAACGATAAATTCTTTAAAAGAAATTGTTCTATAATCTTTAGGATAAATAATTATAATCTGATATTTTGAATATATAAAATTAAATATCTCATTGCACATGTGGCATTTCATATTTATTTAAGAAACGTCATGTTATAAAATCTTAAACTACGAAAAATATTGATTATTATTTCTCACACAAAATTATATATTATTTTGTAAAATAAAACTTCCGGACATAATGTCATGTTAATAACGTGAGCACCCCACCAATTGTACATCTTGCTTTCTGCCCGTGTGGAGTATCGGGGCCCGTCTATAGTTATGGCGGTGCCTTTGGCGTGGAAAGAATATCCCAGTTCTTTGGCGGTAATTTTAAGGAGCTAAAAAAATTTGAAAACAAAAATATATCGAAGTTTTAGCATTGAAAATAATACCCCAACTCCTTTGAGGTTATAGATCTAATAAGGATAATTATATAAAATAAATCTGCAAAATTTTATGTTTTAAAACTTTTCCTTATATTATTCGTTTGATTTAAAAAATATTTTTGACATACAAATTTAGGTCTTGACTGATAACTCTTGCGAAAATAAAACAAACATTATGCAAAGTAAAAATCTAAGGTGGCACCTTGCTGGGCAATACCACCTGTGTATCAGTTTCATTAGTGTATAGCTCTGACATAGTCCTGATAGCTTTATATAAGTTCGAGAGATAATCCGACTAAGTCATCTTTATAGCAAACTTCTAAATACCCTTTTTGAGCTATAATCTGTATTTATTCTTGCACGGGCCTATCCCGATGGTTTCTCATGTGACTCATAGGGTTATTTTACCCTTATTACTATACCAAAATGAAACTTTCTTAAATAACTTAAGGGTCACTTCTATGAGGTAAAAATTTTATTCAAATTTCATAGCCTATACATTTCCGAGCCTAGGATAATAAATTTAATAATTAAATTGAGACAAAATAATCCTACAAAAGAGGGCAAAAATTTATAATTTGTCAAATGTTATGTTTATTGAGTAACTGTCGTTGTTTCATTCAAGGCTTAGCCCTAGTCTCCCTTACTCCTTTCCTTTTCTCACTTCTTCATTACCCTATAAATCGAACTAATCTCATTTCCCTTCTTTCCAGTTTCGTTTCCGCCTCCCCACTGTATAAGATAAAATAACTATCAAATTCATATTCAATACATAATACATTGTAAGACAGAAATAGTCTCAAAAATTTTGTGAAATCGGGTTTAATTAGAATAAAAGGGCCTTCTCTTAGTAAAAGTGAAAACTTTAATCTTAAAGATGATTATAGTCAAAATATTGAAAAGGATACTGATAAACATAAGTCACTAGAAATGATAGCTCTGGATCTAACCTATTTTTTATTTAGAGTCTGACTATCCAAGAAGTAGAAAATTTATTAACTGATGAGAAGGAATGGGAAAATGATTTTATTGTGAATTCCCTTTTCAAATAAAATTTAAACATTTCTCATCAAAATTCTTTAAAATTTACTGCTTTATACAAAAATAATAAAATAGAAAATGAGCTTATTATTAAATTATTATTTAAATTAATTATAATCCACTTTTCGTTTTACTTATAAAAAACGAAAAAATCGATAAACATTTAATTAAACCTTTTTTAAAAAAACAAAATTCCTAATTTTTTTAACTTCCCATTCATACATATTATGGTAATCTATTATCTTGAGCAAATAAAATGAATGCTTAAATTATGGAAATTGCATTAGGGTTGTGCTGATTAATATAGGATCGGATCAAACCCGATACATGCCTTTTTTTGTAAAAAGTAGATGATAAATATCAATTTAAATATCGGATCGGTTTTATATGATTATAGGAAAATATCGGATTGTTAAATTGATCAACACAATCCTAATTATAAGTAATTAATGTTAGCTTTCTTTCTTTAAAAAAAAACATACCTCTCTAATTTTAGGGCAAAAGGGTTCGGCCAATGGGAAATGCAGCACGCCACTGTTGTTGTTCCCTTGGTAAAAAGTGGCGACCCTTTGAGTAGTCCTGAAAAAAATTAACAAATTATTCTTTTCTTTGGATAAAATTGATTTGATACATTTTCGGTTTTCATATAAAATATTCAATGTGAGAGCTAAGAAAACGCCGAAGTTTGAAATCTAGAAGAAAAAAAGGAAAGTTCTGTCTTCTGTGTTTTGGTTCTTAAATTTAAAACTAGTTCCGTTCGCCGGAATTTTTTAAAATGATTTCTGGTTCCAGTTTTTGTAACTGCTCAAAGAGAGTTCTAGGTTCCGTTTCCGGTTTCTAGATTAGTTCCGGTTCCGAGAGTTCCAAACCCTGGCTATAATTACTTAATTTATCTGAATTCTTATAGGGTATTATTTTTTTAATCAAATGTAATCTTTGATTTGTTACATACAATCAGGGTTTTCGCAATTAAAAAAAATTTGGTTTATTTAAAAAAAAGGAAAATTTTTTGATCGCATATTTTAAAAAATCCAATCTTTTCTTTGTGAAAATTTTTTTTCATCATGAAATTAAATAATAAATTAATTTTATATTTTAATTTTTGAAAAATTCGCTCAAAATTTTGGGCAAAAAAAAATTCAAAAGCTCATTGAATATTTTTTGTTAAACGGCATATAATATACAAAGGAATTTAAATGCTCAAATATAGCTCATCAAATAAAAAAAACCTATCAATAGAGAATGTCTGATTTCGAGCATACTATCCAATTCATCCTTTTAAAATAGGCTTATCAGATCTTCATATTAATTATAATTTTTCGCTGAGTACATGGAGAAATATTACGCTTTCAAGAATTTGCAATTTTTTCATCCATATATATTCATAAAATTATTACCAATGTGAACATCACATAACTTAATGCAGCGAGATTCCTACGCTATGCTGACGATATAAGTATTAGATCTAGAGCCCTGCAATGTGATTTTTTCGCGGCACGACCCCGGTCCGAATTTTAAAAAAATTGTATGAGCCCGACCCGATCAAACATTTTCACGTCCAACCCGACCCGATCAATTTTTTTTAACAATTTGAGTTTCAATATTATAATATCTAATAAACAATTAAAAATTATTTATATTTATTCACATATTGCCACCTTAAATAAAAGTATATTTAACCACCACAATCTAATCAATATTCATATAAAGATGCATTTTATTTAATTTGTATATATATATCACTTTTATACAGTAATATAAAAAGTATAGTTAAAATACATTCGAATTTAAAAATTATTCTGAACATTAAAAAGACATCAATATCAGTTATTCTGATTGACATTTTTACGAAACATCGGGCTTCAGGTCGGACACTAAAAGTCCAACCCGAGCCCAAGAAAAAAGATATTAAAACAGAGTTTTAGTTTTCGATTATATATTTTTTTATTTTATAAATAATATTATAATAATATTTGTTGTAATGTTTAAAAAAATAGTTAAAAATTTATACTAATTTTTGTTAAATTATCTGCATCAAGAAAAAGATTTTAAAATACCTAACGGGTCATATTTAGCGAGTGTTGTTAAACGGCTCGATTTAGCCAATCTTTAATAACGTTTAGCTCAAGGTTTTGGCAAAAAATAAATTATTCAAGTTTATTGATTTCGCCCACCGATGGCAGAAAAGTTTGGACTTCTATGGGCTAAATGGAGTGGTTTAACAACAATTTATTCAGTATAAAAATTGCAAATATTTTAAATGAGATTATTAACTTTTGGAAAATAAAAAATAATACAAATCATTCGTGAAAGTTAGTTGGATTTTTAAAATAGAAAATATTGAAATTTTTATGACATTGATACAAAGATAGATGGTAAATAAAAATCAATATAAATATCGAATCAGTTTTTTTTAGTAATATCGGATTGGTGAAAAATTTTTGGATCGACATAGCCCTAGTTATATCTGACCCATTTTCTGGAATGAAACTATGACATAAATATCGAATTTAGTGTTAAATCCTTCCAGTTAATTATTAACAGATGCCTGCGCATAATAATAGACATCTCTTCATAATATCTATTTTATTATACTATGAAAGCACAAGCGGAATATTCCCATCATATGGTTATACCAATAAGAATATGGCTGGTTGCATGTTTAGTAATTTTAAAGTTATTACATAGTGTAACATAATAAAGGGTTTCGCAGACTGCTCAAAATAAAATCTTTTAAGATCTTTAATCTCTGACGATTAAAAAATAAGATTTTTTAAGAATGCTCAAGCAATCAACAAAAATTCAAATTCATTTATAAGTAAATATTTTGTGATTTTTATGCATAATAAATCTTTCATAATGTAAGTATAAAATTTAAAAAAAAGAGGATCTTCAAAGATTTTTGTTCAAAATTTTTGGCGAAAAAAATCTTCAAATGCTCATTTAAGATTCAGGTTAAACCTTGCATAATAATGACCAAAATATATTTCCAGGGATGCTTATATAGGAGGTTTGACGTTATACCAGAAATAAATTTTATTAATTTTTGGGTTGATTTTTTAGAGGTCCAAAAACTCGCGTAGGTATGTAATGGAGCACGTATTTTTTTCTCTTAGGAAATAAATCACTTGTGGATTTTCATAAAAATTAAGTGACGGAAAACTAATTGACCAAATCTCTCAAAAATCGCCAGTTTCGCGAATATTTCTAAATTTTGAATGGCCAAGGTGCTTTTCAAACAACATATTTTTCCCGTTATTTCTTTCTCGTTCGATTCCATTCGTTCTCTTTTTATGAAATCAAGGTTTTAAAACCCTTGATTTTCTAAAACACCTTGGGGAAAATATTTTCATAATTAGGTAAAGAAAAATATGTGATATATGTTTTCTTTTCATTTATTTTTGCTAAATATAAAAAATAATTAATTTCCATATCTATTAAATTGTATGCCAAAATAATGAATCAATATCAAACATTACATTTTTTTTAAATAATTATTTGTCATGTAAAGTTTCCAGTATTTTTATATTTCGATGAAAATAATTAATATATTAAAAACAAACAAAGGTTTTTTAAAAAAATTCTTTCACCGGAGTTGATATTTTGCTCTTTTGGGATGAAATTTTATTTTATAAAATTAAACTAATTAAATTATACCATTGGATAGAGCCTCATCATTAGAATACAAAATAAATAAAAACCCGGGGTTTTTATACTGTTGGTGCTATTTAAGAGTAAAGTAGTACTTTTTACCAACGACCCTGGATAGGATGGCAAGTGCTTAGGGGTAAGAGGGCAAATATCAAATTTAATCGATAAACAGTTTTTCTTTATTGTTATTTCATAATTAGATTATAGAATATTTACCAAAAATTAGTCTACACAATTGTTATATCTTATTTGTTACAAATGTTATGTTTTGTAATACAATATTATTTGAATATTATAGGCTTTAATACTATATAAACTTCAGTGGCCCCCACAACTGGGGAGGGAATGAAACAACTTCTTTTTAGAATAAGGGTACTTTTTATAAAAATATAATTTTTTTAATTTTATTTCATTTTTTGTTTTACCACACCCAACTAGTGTTGTTAAACGGCTCGTTTTGAGCTGATTTTTAAAAACGGCTAACTCAATATTTCATCCAGAATAGTATTAATAATTATTTTTTTCTTCCTGTAATATAAGTTTTAATATATTTTTTAACGTTTTGAATATAAAATAAAATTGAAAAAAAATTGTATATTTTCCTTTAAATTCCTTTGTGATTAAAATTTGTAAATCATAATTTTATATTAAATTTAAAAAAACTGATGCGCTATATAAATGATCAATAAAGTAACTTATAATGTAACTCATTACTTTTGAAACATAGTGGTGCTAGTCTAGATACATCTAAAATAATATAACTAGTTACACTACTAATTTATAATAAAACGACTACTGCTTTTTATTTCAATTTATTTCAAACATTAAATATTTATTAATTGATTTTTCGAATGTTCCATTCTATTTTTATATATAATATCTATAAATAATATTTTATTAATAAGTAAAAATTTTCTACCATAAATAAACGAATAAAATTTTTCAATACCAAATAAAAGTGCTCGAGCTTCTTTATCAATCAGAGCGTAGTGTTTTTCTGATTCTAATAAAGTACGTGACGCAAATGAAATAGGTTTTGTCCTTCCGTCTACTAATTAATGTAACAACACAGCCCCTAATCCTGAATCAGATGTGTCGCATTCCAAAATTATAGGTAACTGCGCGTTATAAGGAATTAACGCTTCCTCGGATGACAATACGAAGGGATTTTGTTCATCTTTCGACCACCGCCTGGGTACTTTCACGCTCGTTAATCTATGTAATAGCGTCGCTTTTCAATGTAGATTACGAATAAAACGTTCATGATAATTCACGAGTCCTAGAAAAGATCTAAGTTGTAGTATATTTTAAGGTTTAGTGCATTTCGGATAGCCTTCACCTTTAACGGGTTAAGATGTATACCGAATTTATCAATAATCACCCCTAAAAATGAAACCGATTTTTGTAAAAATCTCACTTTTGTCAATTTCGCCTTAAAACCTGCTTTCTGTAATCTGTCTAACACTATTCGCAAATTATTTATGTGATCCTCATCATTCGACCAGAAATAATTACGTCATCTAAGTCCAGTCATTTGGCAATCTTTTAGCAACTCATCCATATATCTTTGGAATATAGTAGGTGCACTTGCCAATCCAAAAAGCAATCGTCGGTAACGGAAATAGTCCTTATGAGTCACTATCGTTAGTAATTTCTGAGATTCCGATTCTACTTCCATCTGTAAATACGCATCTTTCAGATCTATCACGGTAAATTTATCACCACCTTGGATTTTCTTTAATAAATCGTCTAAGGTAGGAATAACATGATGGTCATACAATAAACACGGATTGAGTGTAACTTTGAAATCAGCACAAATTCGAATATCGCCATTACTCGGTTGGCGTTGACCACTGTACCCTAGTTATAGTCGAATCTTATTTCGATAATTCTGCAGCCACTAATCGGTCTAATTCCATTTCAATTGCTTTGAGAAGTGGAAATGGTACCCTACGGGCTGGAAACGATTTTCATAGTAATCAGAGAAGAGGCACCACAGTTGTATTCATTATTACCACTAATAAGGTCCTTGTCTATGATCCAATCCTAACATTGACTTGGGTCTCGCCCTTAACGTCTAACGGATGATCACCATATGCAGTCAATGGACTGGTTGGTCTAATTTTTGGTCGTCCAATACTTGTCCATATATTAATTCCTATCAATGACGCTTGTGCACCAGTGTCAAAATCAAATTCAACATCTAACCCATTTACCTCTGCAGTTAGTTTTGCTCGATTCTCTCGATTTTGTTGAATCTTCCAAATATTATGAATAGAATCATTACATTCTTATATAATTTAAATTCTTTGATTTACAGCAAACTGCAAAATGACCAATTTTTTTACATTTATTACATGCCGCATTTGTAGCTGGACATCTCACTTCTCGATTATGAATAAAACCACATTTATAACATTTAAGTTTATTGTAATCTTTATCATTATTATATTTGTATTTATTATTCTCTTTATCAAATGTTTTATTATACTTGACTTTATTATAGCCTTTATCAAATGTAGTCGTCGTTTTAATTGGATGTTTATAATTATTATCATTATCATTTCTTTTGTTATTATCATTTATCTTATTAACAGGCATATTTTTATTTGCCATTTCTTTATCTGCTCGCTCAGAAGCTAATGCCAGATCAAGAATAAATTGAAAAGTCAGTACATTATTATCTCTATCAAGACCGTCGGGATATAGAGCTCTAAGATCTCTTTCCAATCCCGATATTTCCATGCCAACCATAAACTGATCACGTAAACGCTCGTCAATATCATTAAGATAATGACAACGCTTGCCAATTGTTCTAATTTTATCTGCAAATTCAGTTATGGTTTCAGTTGTTCTCCGTAATCTAACGAAATCAAATCTAGAAGCAAAAGCTGTTGACGTCGGTTTAAATAGTTTAAAACATAAGATAAAGTTTCGATAGGATCAGGATAACAAAAACGGTCCACCAACTCAATATTCTTATTGCCAAAAAATGTTAAAAATATATCTTTATATTGACATTCAAATGGGCTTACGCTTTTTAACCGAAAACTGGCTTCCCATTGAGAAAAGTATTTTGAAGCAGGGATGTGAACCCTTCGACAAAAAAAAGGGTCCGGGTTCGGGTCCGGTAATAAATTTAAAAAGGACCCGGGTCCAGGGTTCGGGTCCGGGTTGAGAGGAAACATAAAAAGATTGACTCAAAATCAGACTTTTTTTCATTCATTTTTTTATTATACTTCAATATATACACATTTATAATTCGAAATGAGATAATTTATATTTTAAATATTTTATTCAATCGCACAATCATGATATCTTCTAAAATATCATTCTTCAGATTTCCACGTAAATTAGTCAACGATGAAAATCCACGTTCTACGCTTACCTAAAATAGATAGTCATTTTTATAATACATAAATTATTGTACGTCGCCGGTACAGCCATGACGATTCTAGAAAAGGTATATAATTCTGGATATATTGAAGAATTTTTCTCCCAGAATTTTAAAATGTTTGCATCTCTATTTATTCTCATAACTTCCGAGAACTTTTCTATTAAAGATACAATAGATATTTTTTGCTCCTTTCTATCAGATGATAATTTAATTTTTTTTCTCTATCTAATAGTAAAATTTTCAGATCATCAATATCGTTATCATTATCATTGTTATCGCTACAACCAGTAGATATTGTTGTAACCACCAATGTATTGTAAATAATAGAGTTTTGGGTATGACATAAATCTTCAAGATGGTCTATAACCATTTGTTTTTGCTCACTACTTAATAAAACCTGATATCGGGGGTCTAAATATATCGAAGCATATACAACACTATTTTGTAAATATTGTTGCTCTCTTATTTTCGTATTTTCTAATACTTCATTTGAAAAAGAACTTGTTAATCTCTCTAACTCTAATCGACATCTTAATCATGTGCAAAAATCCGATAAACATAATTGTTCAGCTTGCACTCTTAATGTTGTTATTTTTAAAGGAACCAGCACACTAGTAAGCTCTTTTACTTGATTCCAATCATCTTCTAACAAAATGATTTCACATGCTCCTATTAAAATCATTACAGAAATCTTTCAAACTTAATAATCGCTCTAGCATCATAAACATCGAGGACCAACGTGTTGTGCAATCTAAAATTGCCATTTACCTTTTCATGGATTTTAATATTCTAACAATTGTGGGAGTTCTTAAATATTTTACAACATCCCTTGCTTTATCAATTATAGTTTTAAAGTGACTATTTTTTATGGAGATTTCACGAAAAAAATTAATAAAATTATAAAAATTTTATATTATTTTTTAAAAATTATAAAAATTTTATATTCTTTTTTTAAAAATTTATAAAATTATAAAAATTTTATATTATTTTTTAAAAATTATATTTTTACATTAATTTTAAAAAAAAAATTTTAAGTTAAAAATTTTTAACACCCTGAACCCTTGGACCCTCCACTTTTTAAAAGGGTCCAGGTCCGGGTTCAGCCAAAATACAAGGGTCCAGGAGGGTTCAGAGTCCGGGTCCAGGTCCGGGTTCACATCCCTGTTTTGAAGTCAATGTATCATTATTGTCAAATTTATCAAATTTAAAAGATAAATCTGCCAATTTTTTTGAACCTCCATTTAAGGAATTATTTTCTCCATTTATCGTAGCCATTTGATAATACGACTACTAATTTATAATAAAACGACTACTGCTTTTTATTTCAATTTATTTCAAACATCAAATTTTTATTAATTGATTTTTCGAATGTTCCATTTTATTTTTATATATAATATCTATAAATAATATTTTATTAATTTATTACACATTCTTAAAAAGTAGTAACTAATTACATTTCAAAAGTAACAACACTATCTTTTTCTATATATATTATCAAAAACTATTACATATAAATGGATATTAAATCAATATTAAGTTAGCAAAAATTGATAAAAGGTAAAAATTATTTTAAATTAATGGATACAAACATGGTAATAAATTAATATAAAATAATCTTAATGTTATGCCTAAGCATAAAACATTAATTTAAAAAAATTAATTTACATAATATTAACAGAAAGTTTTACAAAATTTAAAAAAAAATGTTTATCCATATTTTATTTATTTTCTTTAAAATGTTTTATCACAAGTTTTTTGATAGTTTTAAAAGCTTTTAATAATTTTTTTATATTTTGGATAAGTTAAAAAAAATTGAATGATATATAATAATTGAATTGAATAAAATCCAGTATACATTATATACTAATATGTAAATGTTTATTATTTGTACATATAGAAATTTAAAATTTGTATAACCTGTCAATAAATTGATCAATGAAAACCAATTGGCCTGGCTTTATGTTATCTTGCAAAGATCCACATGCAGATGTAACTATAATATGAGTACAACCTTCCATTCTTAAAGCAAATATATTTGCTCGAAAGTTGATATACGTAGGTGGTATGTTATGTTCCTTGCCATGTCTGCATTTTGGAGAAAAAAATTAATATAATGTATCATATGAAAAATCATTTTTTTAGAATTATAAATCTCTTCAATTTCTTAAGATTAATATTTAATTAATGTTGTATATTAGGTACCTGGGCAATAAAACACAGTCAACACCATGAATTTTGCCTATAACTAAATCATCTGATGGCTATAATATTTGTTATATTCGATTATAGTAAATATCATATATTACTTTCCCAAAAGGTGTATCCACACTTTTTATTTGTCTATCTTCAATTAGTGTTGCATTATCTAAACCTGATCCACAAATTAATCCAATCTATTTTAAATAAAATTTATAAATATCCAATTTGTACAAATTTGAAATAAATAATATGATCTTTTGCCTCAAAAAATATTTATTTACTTTTAAAGACATAGGTAAACTCTGTAGTATATTGATTTTTTTTCAGAATAAGGTCAGCTGTAAAATATTTAATATCCTTTAGGATTACATATTTTATATTTGGTTATCCCCACTAAATTAAATTAACGATGAACCATCTATAGGAGCAAGGGAAGCAATAAAAATAATATGAACCAATAATAAAGGAATAATACTGTTGGTAGAAATTAAGGGCTGTTATATTATTACCCCCCCCCCACCCCCCAAATAAAATTTTAGAAAATTTAAAAAAATACCTAAATGTCTTTATGTCCAATAAATACGCAATTATATATATTTTAAATTTGATCAGTATCATTACTATTACTAGCTAGTAGAGGTCTGCAGAACGCGATTCATTCCGAAAAATTAATCCACCGACTTGGCAGAGTTGGGCAGGTCCTTCGGAAAAAGAATCATACAGAGAAGATACAGATTCTTTATTAAAAAATGGATCTTAGATACAGATACTAGTATCTTATTAAAAATATATAAGATAAAAGATAATAGATACTTTTGTTTTTTGCTAAATGAGAGTATCTTAATAGTTTATAAAAGACAATTTTTATTATTTATTGGTGTAGAACATAACATATGCATACAATAATCAGTCATTTTAATATTAATTTTAGCCCATTCATAGCATAGTCAGGTAAGGGAGACTGGTATTAAAGAGTTGAAATATTAATTTGCAAAAGAGTATTTATATAAATTATTAATCATTATTCTTCAATATAATTTTTCAAATAATTTATAATTAACCTCTACGGTTTTAGCATATTTAGCATTGTGCCAAAACCAAATAACCTTACAACTGGAGCGTAAGATGGTATTGCAGTATATAAAAAAAAAATTCTTAATGGGTGGATAGTAATTAAGCAACTCTAATATATTTTGACAGTTTTTAATATAATTTAACACCTCCAATTCAATTCTATCTGTACCTGTTTTATTTTTAAACTGGACGGAATCCAACGTTACTGATTTATTAACAAAACAAATATTGGCATTTTCCCAAAATCGAAAATAGAATAGATCATGTTTTGAAACTTGATAATTATTTAGTATTTAATTTGTGCTTTAATATTCTTCAAACTGGATATCCTTATCATTAACTGTAACCGAGTTATATCCATTTTAAAGTGTAAAGTTAGCGGAATTACTTGAAGAAAGTGATGATTAATGATAATTGATCCCCCATAATCTTTAAGCCGTATATCAGCAGAATGAACTGTTTTGGGTTATAGGCGAAAATAGAAAAGTTTTGGCCAAATCTAAAATTTTAGCAATCATTTTTTAATTAAAGCCAATATATTGCGCCTTATTCTCGATATCTTTTAAACGGAATGTCAAATAAATTAAGCCGAAGTGTGTTATTAACAAAATATAGAAAGTGAATTTTGAAACTAGCGGAGCGACTTGAGGATCAATTACCGAAACCTATGCCATTGTGTAGCCCGTTAATTGATCTCATATCGGAAACAAGTGAAATTAAATGTTGGTGAGTTATATGCTAAATAAGAAAGTTTTGGCTCTTTGGCAAAACTTAAATTAAAGATCATATTTTGAAAGCTCCGTGAAGTTGGTCGAACGATTGAAAACACTGACAATAAATAATATGTCATTTTTTAGTGTTTCAATCCGTCTAGTAGGAGAAGTTAAGAAGTAAATAAACGGACTATTTATTGTTTATATTTTATTATTTTGCTAACTTTCTGGTTAATATTTTCGACATTCTGTTTGGAAGATCAGATAAAGCACTAAATATTAGATTGAACCGGAATATGATTGCTTTAATTTCAGATTTAGAAAGTGTCAAAACCTTTCTATTTTGCTTATACAGTGGCGTAGTTAGGAATTTTTGTTAGAGGGGGTCCATACATATAAAAGCTTGGCCTTCGGCCGGGTTTATTTTACAATTCATAACCATATCTTCGATAATATATAATAAATATATTTTTTAAATTCATCAATAATATGTTATTATAATTTAGTAGATTATTCTCAACGACTTAGTAATAATACTATCCAGAAAAATTTCAATAGTAATTGTTATATATTTCGTTTTTTTTAGTAACAGAAGTTGTTAAAATAATAGTTGAGTCATTGTTAATAAATATTTTTTTTTATAGGATTACTAATGAATTATATTTTTTTTTGTCGATTCATTGTTATAAGGCGTAATATTATATTTTTCTAATTATTAATAAATATATATTTATTTTAACAATTTTAAAAATTATATAAACCCAAAAAGGGGAAAAAATTATTATTATTTTATTATTTTTTTTTACAAATTAACGTCTTATATTTTATTTTATAAACTATACGAAATATTCTAATAAAGGAAGTATAAAACCGCCTATATATATATATATAATAAAGCAATACATAAATATAGTTAAATAATAATGGTTACCGTGACCAGAGCGAACTGATCGCTAGAACCTGGTCGTTAGGGACACTAAAAAAAAAGGGGGGGGGGGACTGTAAAAAAAACAAATAGAAAAAAAATCTGTGTGGATTAGTGAAATATAAAAAAAAGAAAAAGCTTAGTGGTATATAAAATCTTTGTGGCTTAGTGATCTTTGTGGCTTAGTGATCTTTGTGGCTTAGTGATCTTTGTGGCTTAGTGATCTTTGTGGCTTAGTGGTCTTGGTGGCTTAGTGATCTTTGTGGCTTAGTGGTCTTTGTGGATTAGGGGTATAAAAAGATCTTTGTGGCTTAGTGGTCTTTGTGGATTAGTGGTATAAAAAAAAGGAGGCTCAGTGATATATAAAAGAATCTTTGTGGCATAGTGATATATATATTTAAAAAAAACTTAGTATTTGTGGCATATTAACGCTAGAAATTTATTTATTCAGTATATATATGTATATGTGTTTTATAAGAATATTTACGGTCCTAATTATTTCATACCTCCTAACCTTACAAATAATTAAAATATTTATTTTAAAGGTTATTGTTAATTTCTTATAGGAAACATGAAAAGTTTAAAATTCATGAAATATTGGGAAATTCAATATACCATTTTGGGAGCGTTAATAATTTTAGGATTTGGGTAGGTAGTTTATTATTTGAAGAAGGATTAAGAGAAGTAGAAATGTAAGGATTAAGGGTCAGACATTGATCATTGAGGGCCATAATGGAGAAGAAGATGTGATGTAAGGTAACCTGGTTACCTGTACAAGAATTGATCAAAGGATGGACCGATAGTAATATGAGAGAGTTAAATAGAAATGAGAGAATTAATAACACGGAAAGAAGGGACAATTATAGTAGACCTAGGTATGACAATCGGTTGGAAGAGTCGTATAGATGGCCAAGAGAAAATTCACAGGGGAAGGCGAATGGAAATGAGAACAAGTTCTAATTTCCGAGGAAGAGAAAAATTGAGTTGTTATAATTGTGGAAAACCAGGTCATATGGTATGAGATTGTCAAGAAACCAAATGTTTTGGGTGTGGGAAATATGGACATATAGCCCCGTATTGTCCGGGAAAACGTGATAAATTACGATGTGCAGGTTGCGGACGATTTTGTCATAATAGAGAAGAATGCAATGTTAGTAATATCAATACTCGAGGCGGTTTTCCGCAGAGAGACATGGGGCAGATTGTGCCAAATATGAGGATTATTGAAAATAGGGAAGGAAAGGAAGATAGGAATACAAGATTTTACGGAAAATAAAGATCCGAATATTATTTGCTTTCGGTGCCGAAACGAGGGACATGTGGCAAGAGAGTGTGAGTACTTGTGACTATATGATAGTGAAAAAGGAATCTTAGAAGTCGGGAGGCGGCGGTTGGAAAAAATTGGCAACTTTAGTAGTAAAGAGAAGATGAAGAAATTGAAATGCATAAACATGATGCAAGAAGAGATAGTACATGATCCATGTCCTAGGGTGTGGATAAATGTAAATGGAAATATGGTATCCATGTTGTTTGATACAGGAGCAGCCATCTCTGTAATGAGTTATGAAAAATATAGAAGTATTTGGGCGGAGGAAATGATTAAAAGTGAAGACATCAAGATCCGGCAGTTGGACGGATCAGAGGTGGCTGTAATGGGAAGGGTGGAATTAGAAGTAATGTTGGAGAATGGAAGGGAGATATTGGATCTGTGGATAATTAACCGAAGGGTAGAAGCTGTATTGGGATGGGATTGGATTACTCATGGGACCAGATTGTGGGTTTTGGGGTGTGTTCGCATGGTGGGGTACATTTTTACCAATAAGGAGAAAAGAGGAGAAAAGAGATTTGAATTATTGGTATGGAAAGAAATTGCCAGGAATTGAGACCTTTTTGGGGGAAGTAAGGGGGAGAGAAGAAGGTGGAGGGTATGGTCGGGGGGAAATAGGGGAAAATTTTAGGGGAGAAATCAGGGGGAATTTTATGGGAGAAATCGGGGGGAATTCTATGAGAGGAGTCGGGGGAAATTTTAGGAGAGAAATTGGGGGAAGTTCTATGAGAGAAATCGGGGGAAATTTTAGGGGAGAAATAGGGGGAAATTTGAGGAGAGAAATCGGGGGAAATTCTATGAGAGAAATAGGGGGAAATATGAAGGGGGACGTAAAGAGAAATTTTAGAAGAAAAAATATGGGAATTTTTAAGGATTGTCGTGACTTTAGGAGGAAGAAAGAAAGGGACAAATCTGAGGAGAGGGAAGAAATTCCTGATCAAAAAGAGTTGGAGTTGAAGTCAGATGAAAGTCTAAATAATGAAACAGGGCTGCCGAAAGAATGGACCAGAAAAGGTGACATAAAGCAAGAAAAAACAAAAGGAATATATAATCCGGAAGTAGATATGAAGGGGGAAGAGACCAACCAACAAGAAGAGAAGGGATTTCAAAGAAGGGAGATAGAAGTCGGAAAAATCAAGGTACAAGAGGGAGTGCGAAGATTGGTGGATGATTATAAGGAAATCTTTGAGGAAAGTTTGGGATGTGTCAGAGATTACGAAGTGGATATCAAGTTAAAGGAGGGACATGTTCCAAAATTTTGTGCTTTACGACGAATACCGTTCGAATGGCGAAACGAAGTGGATAA